ATGCGTCCTAAAATTGTTCGAAAACGTTCAATAGAAAGATTTCTGTTACAGAATGCCTTATTCCGGGGTAGTCGATTTAGGAAGACCTTGCTTAAAGGAAGACGTTTTCATTTTATTGTCTTTTATGAAAGAATTGCTCATCCATTGAGGGATCTTCTGTTAGGGAATACTTCATTCATTAAGAGGGATCCTTTTGAAGAAAATATCATTAAGAGGTGTTTTGTTGAAGAATGCCTTATTCAAATACCTTCTAATGGGAAAGGGATCCTTCAAAGGTCCCATTTTAAAGAAAACTTAGTTCAGGATCTTCTGTTTATAAAGAAGAACGTCTTATTCAGACACCTTCTAATGGAAATGTGGTCCTTCACAGGTTCCATTTTAAAGAAGGCCTAATTCAGGATCTTCTATTGGAAAATATCTCTTTTCGAAGGGGACCTCAAATAGAGAAATATCTCATTCTGAGTCCTTTTCTTAAGCAAAATCTTCGTCCAGAAGTCATCCATAACAAATACCTAATTCGAGATCTTATTTTGAAAAAAATCTTAAACTTATTACTTGGTTATGAGAAAAATCTGTCCTTGGTATTTTTTTCAGAAATAATACATTAAGTTCAATCTACTGAAAATTCTGACAACCTACTGATAACATTGTATGGGTTATTAAATTTGGCTCCTAAAAGTCTACTGGGTATGCTCATAGAGCCGATCATCTCTCGGCAAAAACGCTCTTGTAATTCCTAACTAATCTACAAAAAAATAAACTTTAAATTTGACATCTACTATCCCCAATACATTTCATTTGAACTCAATATTTCCATTAACATGTTGTTTCAATTACAGAACCTGGGAGATTAAAATGTCATGTCACCCCATCTATTGGCCTCACATACAGACACAGACATACACCTGCAAAACAATTTTCGACATCATCATTATCGTCATTGTCTTCATCATCATCACCAATACCAACACAGACATACACACACTAACAGGTAATTGCTTTTGGATTTTTAAAGTATCATCACGTAATTTGGAAACATTTACCAAATTCTTTGCTGTAGACAGGCAGGCATGCAGCCAGCAATCAATCCTTTCCCACCCCGTCCCCCCCTTTTCCTGCTGATCCAACAAATCCTAAAAAGAACCCCTTTGCTGCGAGTAAAGGATTTTGTAAATCCCTGGTTATTTGGTTTGCATACATGTTGTTGATGTGTGTGTGGGTGTGTGTATCCTTTCTTACGCACGCATTTATTGGGGTGTAATGAAGGGAAATGGTGAGGATATCAAGGTGAAATTCTGATTCGTATACTCTAATGTATGGCAGAGTCTGAGTACGCATTGGCTTTATTAACAAATTCAATGATACAATAAATTTCAATTTAAATTCAAATAAACAGTTGGCAGTGGCAATGTTAGAACAAACTCCTTCAATAACAAATATCATTGTTATTTGTAAAATATGTGTGCACACACATACAGATATTTTAGATTACAATAAGGGTTGCCATTTCCAATCGCATTTTTATACCAAATGTATACCAATCTTAATTTAAATTAGAGTTTTAGAGTTCGGTATCCTCTAATTTAAATTTAGAGTTCGGTATCCTCTCTGAATTGCGTTATATGAAAAATAAGACAAATGTTATTCAACCGCAAGGAATGTGGTGGTATACTTTTCTCGAAGCTATACTAAAAATTCAAATTGCGTCAAATCTAAATCTTTATAACAACTTTTTATTAATGAAAACCTATTTTAAAAAATTTCCCACAAGGAGTGTGGCATAGGCAAAATTTAAGCAACAACCAATCCTTTTAGGAATATCCCAAAAAATGACTGAATATTTTTACTAAACCAATATTACAAGGTCCTAGATGAAAATAAATATAATTTTCTCCTAAAAAGTACAAAGCAAAATAACTTATTTCTTCATTACCAGGTAATGAGTGTGAGCGCCCGACTAAAAGCAGAAGATTTATGAGTTCGGGACTTGGGGAAGACAAATGATGTAAAGGCCTAGCTGCTTTGTATCCCTAGCAAGTGCCCGCTACTTCATAAGCGAAAATTCAAACCTAAAATTTTAGATTCTTTTTAACAGTTCGTGTTAGGCTTTTTTATGCACAATTTCTTCCGTTTGACCAAAATTTTCAATCAAAATTTCATACATCGTTCTATTTTTGTAGACTTTCCTTTTCGGAAAGAATAACAGCAAAATGTTTACCCTTTACATCAAAAAGTCTTCAAAATCTTTCATTTTGAAGTTTACCGAGGAGGATAATCATTGCACAATGGATCCATATTCAATTTTTCTGTCCAAAACTATTTGAACGTCTCCATATGTAAACCCTAGAAAAACAATAGTGACCTCAATATCAAATTTCAGAATGTCTGTTCTATCTCTTCACCCAATGCACTACACATTTATTACTTTTCGTATTTCGCATTTCCAAACCACCGCCATATCTCAATGCCACATACCAACTGAGACTTCAATAACAAATTTCGAGAATCCAGCCCTATCCCTTCACTCGATACCAAGTTTAGTACCATTTAGTAATTTTCTCCAAATCTCAACCTCAGATACCAACAGAGACCTCAATATCAAATTTCGAAAATCCAGCTCTATCGCTTCACCCAATATCCAATTAGTACCATTTCAAACAATTACACATTTTCAAAACCACCTTTACATCTCACCAACAGAGACCTTAATATCACATTTCAAGATTTTAGCCCTATTCCTTCACTCAATACCAAATTTGGTACCATTTAGTACTTTTCGTCGGAAATAGCATCAACATTTAGAATTAGTGTAGATTTGTTCGAATTGGTCACCTTTGGCACGAATTATGGCCTTTAAATGGCCAATGAAAACGTCACACGCTGCCCGAATGTTGCTCTGCAGTATTTTGGCCCATATTCGGCGAGGCGTTTGCTTGAGGTGATCGACACTTTGGTATTTTTTTGGTTCCAATCTTGATTTCCAAAATACTCCAGACACAATAGTCCAACGGATTGGTATCCGGAGGTGTTGGTGGCTGGAAATAAAGCGAGGAACCTCATTTTGTAATCATTCTTGGGTGGCGCGTGCTGAGTGCGATGGTGCTGAGTCCTGTTGGAATGTCCAAGGTCTGCGGCCAAAATGTTTGCGTGTCCAATGCTTTAATACACCCTTCAGAATATTTTCGCGATAATATTCGGCATTTATTTTGATGCCACAGTCGATTAATACGAGCGGAGAGCGACCATCGGCTGTCATGGAGGCCAACACCATCACCATGGCCGGCGCTTGAGTTCGGGTGGCCAACCGAAGGTGCACATTTGCAGCTGACCTCTTTGGCAAGTAAATACGATAATTTTGTTTGTTTACAAACTGCTGGACTACGAATGTTTATTCATCGGAGCGAAGAAAACCAAATTCGTCAGTTTACCACTTTCGGCCAAGCGAAGCAACTCTTTAGCTCTTTTGAGTCTATTTTCGTTCTGTTGCGGTGTAAGTTCTTGCATTTTCGAGCTCATTTTTCAATATTTGCCGAATGGAATATTGTTCAGCTCACGAGCCATTTTTTGACCACTGCGACGCGGTTTTCGGTCAAGTCGCTTCTTTACTTTTCGAACCATTTCTGCTGATGTTGCTTTTGCTGTTTTCTTCCGTCCACTTCCTTGACGTCGGGCTATGCTACCAGTATCACGTTAATGAGCGATGGTGAGAGACACAAAAGATTTATTCACATTTTAATGCTGAAGTGCCCTAACGATAACTACTTGTAGTTGTCCAGCCAAATATAAAGAAATCACACTATCACGCTTGAATTCCATCACGAATAACTTTTTTATCGGGAAATTTTTCACCAAAATGCTTTTGTACGCTTGTAAATTATATAATGAGCTGTCACTGAAATAATTTTAAGAGCTCTCGGACGAGAGGCTTGGAAAAGACAGCAGTCTAAAGTTGGTTGCATTTTTCATCTCATCCTGAATATCCTATGTGGCCATAAGGCTAAGGATATTAAAATATATGTTTTTGCATTGTAGCTCGAATTTTTCGGAAATTTGGAGAGATGGACCTTCATTGGTAACCAAGGTGGCCGCGTGAGGCGTTTGATTTTTTTTAATTTTTCATATTTTGATGCCACGTTCATAAATAGTTTTTTTGGTGTAAGTAGAGTTTGTGAATCCTACATATGGTGGTTATTTTCTTTCAGCTGCTAGATGCGTAAAAAGCAGTGTTATTATTTGGTCATCACTGATCTACACCCCCTCTAGTCTTGGGGCTAGGAGTACAATTATTTTTTACCAAACACTTGGGGAACTGTAGCTTATGCATCCATGCATTCCAATAAATCGACCAAATGTCCAACACAATCAAACATCAGACCATGCTTGGCAACATCAAACACAACACATCGCAAAATTGTAATCCACATTACGGTGTCATTGTCGTCGTCTTGGAATGGCATCTTAAATTTTTGTTTGTTTGTTGTTGTTGTTCACAAATATCGATGGAACTGCAAAATTCAATCGACCAGAAACGGAATTTAGTCCTTAAATGGTTTTCGGAAAGAAGATACACATGTTTGCTAATAAACAAGTTGACGAACCGTAAAAATTACTCCGCAAACACACACAAACACAGGCATCCCGTCACACACACATATACGGACATACACACAAACGTGTATGGCAACAACAGCAAACGAATGATGGATGGATGGATGATGGCTTGTGATATGAGTATTGTGACTGTCTGTTATGATGTTGTTGCTGGGGTAACATATGTGTTTGTAAGTACCATACATGTATGTTGTATGTCTAAGTGTATTGTCTGCAAACAACAAATGAAAAGTTCTTCATCGATGTCGTCTTACCTTTTTTTTTTGCTTTTTTTGTTGCTCCCCAATTACAATTAAATTGAATTTTCCCTTAAATTTCAATTTTATTTAATCAAAGTGGAATTGTTTTTGTCCTTTGCTAGGTCCTTCCACTTTCTCCCTTGATTTTACCTTTTCTTTGATATTTTTGATTTAATTGTGGGAAGTTTTCCAATTGATGACTGATTCTGTGGAATTTTTTTCGTTTCTAAGTAATTTTCAGGAATTTCCTTTACCAGTTCCTTATGCCCGTCAATCTGCAATGGAAGAAGAGAGAAGAGAATTTCAATGATAATGTATGAAAATGTTTTTTGTGTGTTAGTATTAAGTTTATTTGGATTATGAAAATATTGACTTTTTGCATAGATCCTCTCTTTATGAAATAATTTTATTCAAATCTAGTTAATAATCTCATTGAGTTTATTAGATTTCATTTTCCTCTACTTTTTTTGGAAGTCAAATAAGAATCCATTGATATTTAATATTTGATTTGTGAGTTTGTGTAAATATTTTCACAGATTAAAAATTGATTGGCTTTGATATGTCAGGTATCATAATTTAAAGAAAATTGTTATTCCTAGAAATATTTTTTTTTTTAGGCTATTATTTTATTATATTGAGCTGTAATCCCAAATGTAACAGGGGCTGAATCTATATATCAAAAATAAGTTACGTTGTGTTAATAATTGATGTTCTCTGGAAGTAGTGATTTTGTTTCCATAAATTTCATGACGTCAATACCAAGGTTTATATATACTTGTCTCTGGATGTGCCATTACCAAAATGTGGACCAACATGACCCATATTTTGAGCTAATGATTTTACATGTACATTGGCCTGTATCAAAGTTTAAAGCTCTTTCTTACATTTTGCGAAGAATAGAGCAAATTATTAGAGGCCCTTCGTGTATCGTTAAGTCTACGTATAAAATGACCCCCAAAAATGTCGGTGTCCCTTTTGGGACGATGATCTACTTAAGATTTCCCAATGCCCAGATCAGCTATTGCACATTGAATTATTCAAAATGTGGACCACTTGTGGGGGAGATATCAGAAGGAGTGAGCCAATATACAAGGTGAGATGAAAAAACTGCAACCAACTTCAGACTGCTGTCTCGTCCGACAGCGTTTAAAATTATTCCAGTGACAGTTCATTATATTGTTTACAAGCGTCCAAAAGCATTTTGGTGACAATTTTCCAAAAGAAAAAGTTGTTCGTGATGGAATTCAAGCGTGATAGTGTGACTTCTTTATATTTGGCTGAAAAACCACAAGTAGCCACCGTTAGAGCACTCCAGCATTTAAATTTGAACACATCTTTTGTGTCTCGTACCATCGCTCGTTACTGTAATACTAGTAGCTTGCCCGACGTCAGAGAAGTGGACGGAAAGAACGGCAACATCAGCTGAAATGGTTCGGAAAGTAAAGAAGCGAAAAATGGCTCGTAAGCTGAACGTATCGCAATATTCCATTCGACAAATATTAAAAAAAAGAAGCTTGGGGTAAAGCCAATTCCAAAAAGTCCAAGAACTTACACCCCAACCGAAAGAAAATATCCTCAAAAGAGCTAAAGAGAGCTGCTTCGCTTGGCCGAAAGTGGTGAACTGCCGAATTTGGTTTTCTCCCATGAGAAAACATTCGTTGTCCAGCAGTTTGTAAACAAACAAAATGAATGATGATCGTGTTTACTTGCCAAAGAGGTCAGGTGAAAATTTGCACCTTCGGTTGGCCACCAAAACTCAAGCGCCGGCCGTGGTGATTGTGTTGGCCCCCAAAACAGCCGATGGTCGCTGCTCGCTCTCCGCCTGTATTAATCAATCGTGACATCAGAATAAATGACGAATATTATCGTGAAAATATTCTGGTGGGTGTATTAAAGCCTTGGGCACGCAAACATTCTGGCCGTAGACCCTGGACATTCCAACAGGACTCAGCACGCGCCACCCAAGAATTGTAACAAAATGAGGTTCCTCGCTTCATTTCCAGAGCACAATGATCACCAAAATTTCAGGATACCAATCCGTTGGGTTATTGTGTTTGGAGTAGTTTGGAAAGCAAGGTTGGCACTAAAAAATACCAAAGTGTCGATCACCTCCAGCAAGCACTTCTCCGGTAATGGGCCAAAATACCATTGGCCTTTTGAAGGCCATAATTCGTGCCAAAGGTGACCAATTCGAACAAATTTAAAGTTATTCTAAAATTTTATTTTTTTTTTAAAAAATGAAAAATTATGGCTTTTGACTTCGTTGCAGTTTTTTTTATCTCACCCTGTATATGTTTTATCCGATTTGGTGTTTAAGTCCCTCACATGCGTAATATGTAGTCCACAACAATAATCTTTGGTACCGGATAGCAGATACAGCCCAAAAATACCTCTGCCAAATTGTGTCAAGATCGATTCAGATTTGGATATTGCTCCCATATATGTTTCATCCGATTTGGTGTTTAAGACCATTACATTCGTAACACACATTCGACAACAATGATATTTGGTACCAGATATCTTATATAGCTCGAAATAACCTCTGCCAAATTTTATCAAGATCGGTTCAGATTTGGATATGGAATATGGGAGCTATATATCTTCAACTGATTTCGGGTTAATTGTGCACCAAAAAGCCAATATTTGTCAAAAAGTCCTGAATTTTGGTTCATCCGACCGAATTAAATCTGGAAGCAAGTACAATTAATTTGGAGAAAATTGGTTTAGATATAGCTATAGCTCCAATATATATGTTTCATCCGATTTGGTGTTTAAGGCCCTCACATTCATAATATGCATTCGACAACAATGATAGTTGGTACCAGATATCCAATAGAGCTCGGAAATACCTTTGCAGATTTGGATATAGCTCCCAAATATATCCTTAATCCGATTTCAGGTTTATTGTGCAAATAATGGCTAATATCAGACCAAATGGATTGAGTTTCGGGACGTACGTTTTCATTTGGTGGAACTCGGCTCCGATATATATATTTTTACTATAATCGTTCTCGAAGTGTGAATCTATAGCAATTCTATTTGGTATAAAAGATTAAAATGTCTACGTCAAATTTAGTGAAAATCGATTCAGAATTGGATCTGCCCCCTATATATTAGTTCCGCCAAATTATAGCTGCCCTAAAGCCAAATGTTGATAGATGCTACAAATTACTTCAAATAAATTATTTTGTTACGGGAGCTCTACTAAATATGCGTAGTGGTGTAGGGTATCATATAGTCGGTCTTGTTCGACTTTTGACTTTTCCTTACGGGCTTAAGTTATGCAGTCTTGGGGGAATTTAATGTCTAATGTATCGAATTCCAGTTTTTATTTGAAGCTAATAAACCGTCAGACTCATTTTACTGCTAAGAGCCCGATTGTACTTTTTGCTCTCTTTTAAATTGTTTTTTTTTTACTAATTCGTTCCAAAAAAAATCCAGCCCATAAAAACAGGCGACTTGTAATAACAACCCTAAGTCGCTTAACGATTAACAATTAAATCCATAATAAATTAAAGCACAATTAAACCTTTGCAAAATTCAATTAAAGTTATTGTTAATATTTCTCTTTTATTAATAATGTCATGGCTCATTGGTGTTTGTGATTTCGCTTACACATTGTACACACAACACACACACACATGCTTCTTTGATCTACTAAACTATTGATAGATTTATTTGTTTATTTATTTTTTCAATTGATTGTTTTTTAATTTCACATTTTTTTTTTGTTTAAATCTCTCCATTTGCCAGACAATGTAACGGCTTGTTATTAAATGGATTTGTTTTATTACCAACAGAAATTGTGCAAATATTGATTCTTTTGTCTGTAGACCAATACAATAACAATAACAAAAGCAACAACAGCCGTAATGACACCAACAACAACGATTACAATTGTTTTGCGGCTAGACAAGGTCATTTGGTAGTTAGTTGTTGGTTGCATTTTTTTCTTTTCTTTTTTTTTTTTGTTTTTTGATAAAAGAAATAATTTTAAACTCCGGTTCGGAGTTTTGATCATGAAATTCATGTTGTTGTTTTTTTTTGTGTTTTGTATCTGAATTTTCGATTGTCATGTTTTTATTGCATTCTTTTATGGCATATTTTACTGTTCGGTTGGTTGTATTTTTAATTTTAATTGCCATTGAATCGACATGAACGTGATATAATTTAGACAAGACATGCTGGGGTTTAAATACGTAAGAAAAATAAAAACAACAAAAAATAATTAAATAAATTAAAAGGTCATTTAATTACAAAAATTAAATTTAAGGTTACTTTAGGTGTTGTGTATTTAATTTTGAAGTAGCCATTAAAACAAATGAAGAATAATAAAAAAAATTCCGAATTAGCATGGTCTAGAGAAGCAGAGAATCTTGCGAGGGAGATTTAATGATTTTTTATCTACTAAAAAATCGAAAGTTTGATTTTGGCCTTTATGTGCTTATCAACTACTCCGATGATTTTTATGATGTATATAATGTTAGAAAAGATTACGATTTTGCTGTCCATCAAAGAAACAATTTTGGAAATAAGTGATCGTAGTTATATTTACATCGTTTTGCATAACTATGCGATAACCATTTTCAAGCCGTGCAGAATATTATAAACTTAAAATGTAGCCTCAATGCATCAATATTGCCAAGAAACCTGAAGCCTTTTCCGACTTTACGCCTGAAAGTCAAAAAATCGTTCTAGTCAGAAAATGTGAAAATAATAAATATGCTATGCAAAATATTACTGAAAAAAGAAAATTAGTTCGGAATTTATGAGCTATATGTACAAATTACCACAAATGTACCCCAAATGCAATCCGAAAAAAAAGTGTCATGTTTAGGTCACTTTGCGTTGTAGACTATCAAAACGCCGATACTATTTTCGCTCTACTTTCATCATATACCGGTGTATTTAGCAAGACTAAATCCGCTCTTCCATATGGCCCTATGTAAAGTTATAGTCCCATATTCGGCATTGGGACGTCGTTAGTCATGTTTTCCTGTCATGTTTGCAATTTTAAATTTGAAGTTGGTGCTGCTATTTTCAAAGATTTTGTTTTTCCGCAGAATGAAGAGTTTTGAATTCTTCGTTCTTGAAAAAATATTCTGCAAAAATCAGTATCTTTATCCATAGTCCTTGTAAAATAATATTTAAAAATACCAATATTTGATTTGTTAAATCTTGATGAAATATTCATAAAAAATATAACTTAAATACGGCTTTAAAATATTCTCTTTTGGTCTGTTGGTCTATTTTACCAAGGAATAATATTTAAAAA